GTCGTCTTTAAGCCCGTCTTCGACAGGAGGTTTTGAGGGCTCTACGTTATCGTCCTCGATAGAAGTCTTTGAGAGCTCTACGTTGTCGTCCTCGACCATACTAGCCCCGATTTTGAGTACAGGCCTCCTCTTCAACAGAAGTTCTCGCGAGCTCTACGTTTTCCTCTTTGAGCCCGTCCTCGACAGAAGCTCTCGCGAGCTCGATATTGTCGTCCTTGAGCCCGTCCTCGACACAAGTTCTCGCGAGCTCCAGTTTATCCTCGACTTTTTCAATCCTTGTCAGTTCGGGTCTAGGAACATCATCTTCAGCAGAAGCTCTTACTAGCTCTATATTATCGTCCTTGGGCCCGTCATCTTCACCAGAAGTTCTCCCGAGCTCTACATTATCGTCATTGGGCCCGTCATCTTCAATAGAGGTTTTCCCGAGCTCCAGTTCATCTTCGACTCTTTCAGTCCCTGTTAGTTCGAGTCTAGGATTGTCATCTTCAGCAGAAGCTCTCACTAGCTTTACATTGTCGTCCTCGGCTCCATCGGCCCAGGTCTCGAGCCCGAGTCTCTCTTCCTCGACTACAGACGCTCTCACAAGTTCCAGCATCTATCTGTCTACCGTATCAACCGTAGAAGCTTCCAGCTCTCCCAGGGTAGCCTCAAGTTCGGCCTTGCTGGAGACTTCTTCAGCCCTTGCGAGCAGTTCTGCCGGCCTTCGGTCATCTACTCCTTCTTTGACTGCTCGATCGAGCAGCGGCTCTTCGACACCGGAAATATCTTCTACGGAAGGGGCCAGCTCATTCTCCAGTTCAGCAAGCATCAACAGCCTTAGCACATCCATTCTCCCGTCTACTTCAGCAGAGACCTTGCTCTCGTCGAGAACCACAAACTCCCTTGCCTCGACAACGAGTCTCAACGTCCCCAGTGGATCCTCTGTCTGTAACACGGAAACTCTCTCCAATATACCCGGAACCCTCGATGTCTATACCAGATTTTTTGTCGGATACGCGGCGAGGGAGAGGTTAACCTACCCTGGCTCCGATGTAAACCCTCCGATCTCCACCACCTTACCCAACACAGGCAACGATTGCAACGCCATCACCGCTTGTGCCGCATTTAATTCCTACGTTGGTGGCCACATCAATGTATATTTCGACATAGAAGCGAACGTCTTCACTTGTGTTTCTTTCCCAGGCCCCAACTTTGATCCTTCTACTTTCATCGACCTAGACTTTCGCGTTGGTGTATCGTACGGATTTTCGACTCCCTCCCTGTCGGTCTCGTCACGCTCTTTCATTGCTACTTCATCGACAAATTCATTCGTAGCCAGTGCGAGCAGTCTGACTAACTCCTTGTCCCTTACATCGAGTAACTCAGCAACATCCACAGCACTCCAGAGCACGCAAGGGGGTTCGTCGAGCGCCGTTTCGTCTGAGAGCACTACTACGGCCCAGATTTCGAGCTCCACGGCCGCATCCCCTACGGGAGAAAGTAGCAGCCAATACTTGCCTGAGTCATCAGCGCAGCTTCTCACGCAGAGTTCGAGTGCTGCATTCAGCCTCTCTACACCAGAGAGTCTCGGAACCACTCAAGCCTCGTCGTCTCTCTCTCTTTCTTCATCGGTGGAAAGCACGGCTATCCAGAGTACTGTCGCAGCAATTATCTCATCGGAGAGTAGCTTTGCAACTATTCTATCTTCCCTGGTCTCTGAGTCTGCGTCGCTGGCAAGCTCTCAAGCACTGTCACTGCCTACAAGCGAGAGCTCTACAGGCACTGTCACTTCTGCAGAAAGCTCCGGGTTCAGCACTGAATCTGCTACGGCTCCTCTGTCCGTCACTTCGGGCAGTCTGGCGTCGCCAAGCAGTCTGAATGTTGACAGTTCGACCGCTCTTACATTGGAACCATCTGTCACAAGTTCGGCTCCTGCCAGTGGTAGCTTGACAGATGAAACCTCGTCTGCTTTTAGCACCGGTGTTGCGTCCCAGAGTGGTTCTTTTGCGTCTCTAAGTTTTGGGACCGTCTCCCAGCTCACCGGTACTGCCCCTTCGTCGGACAATGGAGCAACCATTTCCACCGGTGCTGTTTCACAATCAACATCTCTGGTGATCAGAGATGCGTCATCTATAGCTTCTTCCGTGACAAACCCGTCAAGCGCAAGCACTGAAGGTTTGTCTGTCGAACCTTCTTCACAAGGGAACCTTATTCCATCGGCAACCTCGCTCCTGGAAACAACATCCGTCGCGCCCTTGTCAAGTGTCACACTAGGAGGTGGGCTCTCGACCTCTGAGGAGGCCTCGCCATCAGTTAACTCTATTGCATCGACTGCTCCTGGTCCACAGACTACCGCTGACCAAACCACTGCTGCGGTACCAGCCACCACGCCGTCCAACCTCGCATCCCCAAGCTCGTCGCCAAACACACTAGCGGCTCAAACTACGCCTCAAGCGGCACCGTCTGGAACCACGCCGTCGGTCCTACCACCATTGCCTACTCTTGGTTCAATTGGTCTACCTAGCGTTGGACTACCTAGCGTTGGTCTACCTAGCTTGTCCTGCCCATACATCCCGTCAACTTGGTTGGCGATAAGTCCCTCCGGCGTCTCTGCCATTGCGCGGACGGTCACGTTCCCATCCGGCTGTATCGTACCGCCTCTTCAATGAGCGAGTGTTGTATGATTGAACGAAGATTTCATGATTTCATGAGTCTCCTCTGAAGGATGCCATCTCGCAAAACTGCTAGGTGCCCTCCTGGCAGTTCGCGTGTCGTTTGTCTCTCATCTTTGATCTGGTTTTCGTTTGGTGAAGGAAATTTACGGTTTTCTGCTACCGGATTATCATTGGGGGGAAGGAAGAGGGGCGCTGGGAGAACCAGGAGGGACTCTCATATGGGGGATTGGACATCCTTCGGCATAAGGATGAGGGGCCGAGAGGTCTGCTTTTCGTTGGTTTGCGCAATTTTCCTACTGCTTTACCCCATTTCCACATTGATGTTTTTCTTCTTTCTTCTTGGCTAGACAAAAAGGGGGATCTGGATTGGAGATTTTTTTGGGGAGTTTGTGTGTTGCCTTACCTTTTTTTTTTTTTTTTTCATTTTTCACTTTAGTCATGTCATGGTTAATAATTGAGGGGATGTGAAGGGTGTTGAGGGTAGGGTGCGCAGCGTTGTTTTATTATAGAATAAGTAAGGTTGCATACAGTTATCATTGGTTCCCATCCGCATCTCGGCTACGGCAGCAGGAGAAGTGGGCACGTGAATACACACCATCACTTTAAGTATCGATGCTACTTACCTCTTTCGAAAGATTTTCGTTCAACGTGGACGCTTTGAACATGATGCGGAGAAGACCGGACCCGTCCCCGTTGCCACGATACTCAAAACATGGGGGTTCTTCCGATTGCATGGGGTGCGAAGTATGTAGCCCCTTCTATTTCTGGAAATACTGTATGTACGCTAACACGACGGCACTTATAAGGGACAGTCATGCCCATCTCGACCTCGATGCAGGCTTTCTATCACTTACCGATTCTCGTTTCGACGGTCAACGCTTGACGTCCGCTTCTCCACGATTATCCGCGCTTACGGAGTATCTGGAAGAACTTATTGATTTCACGGTGGGAAGAGGATGTTTCCGTACTTACGGACGCCAAACTCAAGGCTGTCGCGAAATTTCAGACACATGTACCCCAGGCATCTTTCCTTCGATACATCAGGCTCTGATGCTGTGCTGTTCCGCTTCTGAAACCGAGTATCTCATCAGCAAAGAAGAGGATTGATCAAGTGCGGTTCGTATTCCGGATCCTTGAAGCCGATTGACTAATTTGAACAAGCGATATTGTATTTATCTACAAAGCCCTCCAAAATGATACCGATCCAAAATCATCCTCCCAAGACTCTTATATGCAGTTCGAAAAAGATGCTACCAAAATAGATAACGATCGCGTGCTCCCTTCCCCTACAAATGGGATGGATAACACAAAGAAAATAATATACCCGTCAAAGATCTGACCACGACACTTCTCTTGCCGATTCTGGGAGGGCCTGCGCCCAATCTCATTACGGCGGTGCGATAGTAAGACTTGCAATTTTGCAAGTAACGACGTTCCCCGAAACTGATGACCTCACACCCTTGATCGTCAAGGTAACAGCGCTATAAAGAGGCGTCGGACTACACCAGGAGGCATCAGTCCCCGCCGCCGTAATCACGACATGCTTGAAGACAAGATTGCCAAAGTCCCAATTGGTACCCGGGTAGAGCTCCACGGCAAACAGGGCTAGAGAAGGGGCGAGATTAGTCGGGTGAGCATTCGTATGGGAGATGGATACCATACCTTGATTCATCTGGAGTCCGATATCAAAGGTGTATTCCACCTTTTCCCCGCCGTTTGCCACACCTATTGTCCAATTCCCCCCTCCATCGATGTTGTTCATGTGGAATCCCAGATTCTGGCCAACGGAGCAACTGAGACCTCCACCATATCTGGACAGAGGTGAGTAAGTCTTTGCTTGACGAGGACGGTTGCGGAAGATGTTGGGATATGACATCCTCCCCCGTGTGGTATGTACTCACGGCTCGCTGGGGTTGCCCACATAGGCATTGCCGAAATACCAATGCTGATTACGGCCGTCGAGAACTGGTTGAAGGACCCCCTGGTTGTTGGGAGGCTGTAAGCCAGGCCTAAAGCATCGGCTTGTTAGTCATTGCTCGCCCAGAATTTCGGTGCGAGGACATTAGTGGAGGAGGACTTCCTCAAGTTCTGCTTCTGACGAGGCAAGCTGAGGGGGGGATGTAATAGATTCCCAACACGTACCAGAGGTAAGGAACGCCACCAGACGGGACTCGTGGAGGAACGGTGAGATTACCCGAGAAGGACAGAATCTGGTTGGTATAGAAACTAACGGTATGAAAGTTGCCGTCTGCCTTGGCAACAGCGGCTACAAGCGACACAAGAATTGCAATGGAGAACTTCATGGTAGCGACAGAAGGTTGATCTTTTCGTTGATCTAAATATAAGATTGTGATAATGGAACGTATATTGATATATCTACATATATACATTCAGAATTCCGAGAGCAATCACCTCCTACTGTTGAGGGACCGGGACCCGGGGTCGTATCAGAACCACCATTAGCCTCGCTTAGCTTGGACATTCACGGCCTTCCGTGAGTTTGAAGCCCAGAGACCATCCATCCGTATAATTGAACGATCTGGACTATCAGAGCTGCCAATGGTTTCGTCGTTGGTTAGTCTCCTCCAAGCCGTCTTCATCTCTTATCTTGGGCCTCAATGCTTCCTTCCTGCGCACCCTTCTGCGTCGCACCAATACCGCTCCAATAGGTAGTCGGACTAGTCGTCGACTCGACTCGATCGGGTTATGTACGCTGGCCTATAGTGCTGCTGTGTACTTACTACCTTTAACCTACCTATGATCCTTCTGCTAATACGGAGCATAAGTATAAGTCACAAATGTATGTATTTATCTCGGCCATCTTCTCGACTGTGACTAGGTATGTACTTACTTACTTGGTAGAGTGAGTAATAGTAATCAATCAGAACAACACCCGTTGCGCAATGAGTACTCCGTAGAGAAAGAAATAGTTTGGTCTTTACTTCATCAAAGCTGAGACGAGCTGGGTAAACGGTGCAGAAGTCAGCCAGCCAACCAGCCAACCAGCCTTTCCTTTCCTTCCTTCCTATTCAGCATCGTATATATCTATCTTGTCTTATATACCTACCTGACTTACTTATTTACCTTTGTTCTGGGCCTCCGTAGGTAGCTCACTCGTCTCCAGATTTTCCACGAACGTCCCATGTTTTAATTTCCATTTCAGCTATTTCCCGAATTCCCTTTTATCGTCAGTCGAGTCGAGTCGTCTGTTGTTTGTTTGGTCGGACGCGCGGATCGGATGGCATGGCATGGCATGGCATGGGCCCATCGACCGACCACGTATATACGGTGCGGAAATCCCCCTTTCCCTCTACCCTTCCAGAGTCCTGCAATTTCGAGCACTCTACCGGTACTTCGTAGCGACCTAGACTATAACCGTGCGCCAATGAGTAAGGCTGTCTCGGGTTGCCCGATCACACTTCGATAATTTGCAACTTGATTTCACAACATTAGAAATTGATACTATCAACACTTTTCTACCATGATAAACGTAGAAGTTTCTTGTTATTGCTACATGTAGTATCTTCAGTGTTATTCAGAGAATGATTAACTGTGTCGAGGTACTGATGAAAAGAACGGAAAATTATTATGTCGATTTGCAAGTCCGTTTTAAAGTCGGTGGATGTTTGACAGTCGGTCTAGCGTGAGCGCACTCGTGGGAACCTGAGACTGAGAATAGAGTGGCGCCCTTATTGGCGCACGGTTAGAAAGATTAGAAGTACGGACGAGTCTGTTTTCCCTACTGCATGTAAACACGCTATATAGCCCCTGAAACCCCCCTCCCCCTCCTTTCAAATTTCCAATGCTGCGTGCGGTATTGCTAGGTGCAGGCTCGGGCTTTTCATTATTGTCATGCACGCGGGCGGGCGGTCCCGATTAGGGAGGGATTGATAGATAGAGAATCTCTGGGTGTCTGCGTGGCTTTTGATTGTGCATTGTTTTGTTATATATCTGTGTATGCTCCTCGCTTGAGATTCATGTTATTTGTCTTCCTTTCCGCAAGTGAGCAGGGCCTGAACTTTTTTTTCTTTTTCACCTCACTTCGCTTTAAGTCAAATGGTGGGTGGGTTAGATTAGGTTAGGTTATGTAGCTTTGGGATCTCCTATTTATTTAGTTGTAGTATGTCTGACCACATGGCGCCTCGCGAGAGGTAGATTGCTCAGTTGGGTTTTGATATCTACAGTGTAGAAGAATCTCGTATATCGTTGGGTGTACGGGCTTCTGGAGAAGGTATTGTCGGTTTCGTCGATTATTGTTTAATTTAGTAGCTCGCTTATTTTACAAGCGAGCTGCTGAGTATAAATAGAGATTTCTATTTTTCTTTCCCCTTTCCAATAAACACCCTAGTGTCTGATCGGATGGTCGATGAGGCGCTTTTGACGCCTACGTTGGTGCTGGTTGGTGGATCGGCCAAGCAAACAAAGCTAGAAGCCAGGCTTCTCTTGGGCTATCGCTGAAGTGATACTATCGCCGAAGCCATGTAAAGTAGATAGCTGAGACGATAGCAAGAGATTGTGCATCAAGTATAGATGATTTGAAGTCGACGACTACCTGAATAGTGGATCCCCCACACGGAGCTTGTTTTGGTTCCCGAGCCTGGGGAAATGCGGGGTACATGCGCTAGGCTAGCCGCGGCCCTGGTCGGCTCTAACAGAGCAGCACCGCCGTCCATGTCAGTTAACAACAGAATAGGCATTGAAAAAGCCCTCCATCCATGACCTCCTCCAGACCGGATCACTCGCACCTGGAGTGAAAGAAACCAATTCTCACAGAGTCCATCATGTTCCCGTCAAAACTTCGAGTTCTGCCCCGGGCCATCATCCCCGCCCAGTTCTCCCGCCTCTCCTCCACCACATCCACATCCACTCCCACTCCCACCACGTCCAGCACGCCCATAACCTCCGTCCTCATTGCAAATCGAGGAGAGATAGCCCTGCGGGTAGGCCGTACAGCTGGCGCGCTGGGAGTCCGGTGTACCACCATCTACACTGACCCAGACGCCCAATCCCAACATGCGCTTTCGAGCCCCTTCGCTGTGAACCTCGGTTCCGCAAACGCATACCTTGACGGGGAGCGGATTATCAAGGTCGCGAAGGAGCAGTCTTGCGAGGCGCTACATCCGGGGTACGGGTTTCTGAGCGAGAACTCGGCCTTCGCGAAGAGATGTGTGGAGGAGGGACTGGTGTTTATTGGGCCGCCGTGGAAGGCGATCGAGGCCATGGGCAACAAGTCGAGGAGCAAAGAGATTATGATTGCTGCCGGGGTGCCGTGTATACCCGGCTACCATGGAGGAAACCAAGACCCTGAGTATTTGTTGCAAGAGGCGACGAAGATTGGGTTCCCGGTCATGGTCAAGGCTGTCAAGGGAGGTGGGGGGAAGGGCATGAGGATTGCTTTTACCGAGCAGGAGTTCTTGGATAAATTGGAGAGTGCGAAGAGCGAGGGACGGAACTCGTTTGGGGATGACGAGATGTTGGTTGAGAAATATATCTCGACGCCGAGGCATATTGAGGTGCAGGTCTTTGCTGACAAGCATGGTAACGCTGTTGCGTTGGGGGAGCGGGATTGCAGTCTCCAACGCCGGCACCAAAAAATTCTCGAGGAGGCACCAGCCCCGAATCTGGCTGAGGAGATCCGTCAAGACCTGTGGGAAAAGGCAAGGGCTGCTGCTTTGGCTGTTGGCTACGAAGGTGCTGGCACGGTGGAGTGTTAAGGTTTTTTTTTTTTTTTTTTTTTTATTGGAGAGGGAGAAATGTGCTGATTCAATCTAGTCATTTTCGACAACGACACGAATGAGTTCTTCTTCATGGAGATGAACACCAGACTCCAAGTCGAGCATCCCGTCACAGAAGTCGTCACAGGAGAGGATCTAGTTTCCTGGCAGTTTAAAGTTGCTGCCGGCGAGCCCTTGCCCTTGAACCAGGAAACCATCGCTCAAAGAATAGCCGAGCGCGGCTGGGCTATCGAAGCTCGAATCTATGCAGAAAACACCAACGAGAATTTCATGCCTGATTCGGGTAAACTGATCCATCTCAAAACCCCTCCCATATCAGAGAGTGTCCGCATTGATGCTGGTTTCATCGAAGGCGACACTGTATCATCGGCTTATGATGGCATGATTGCGAAGCTCATCGTGAGCGGCGAGACTCGTGAAGTTGCCATACGCAAACTCCACGCAGCGTTGCAGGAGTATGAGGTTGTTGGGCTGAGCACTAATATCGAATTTTTGAAGAAGGTTTGCAGGAGCCCTGCTTTCATCAAAGGGGAAGTTGAGACTGGGTATATCCAGAAATACAACGATGAGCTATTTGCTCCCGAGGAAAATGAGCCAGAAGTTTTTGCCCAGGCAGCTTTGGGTCTTTTGGCCAAGGAGCTCTCTGTGCCTGGTGTCAGGGCCGGTCCACACGGAGCCGTTATAGGATTTGGTGCGAGAAGTCGACGTCAATTCACATTCAATACATCTCGCGGCGAAGAGAATGAATCCACCACTGTCTCAATCGAGCAAAGAGGTCGAAGCCTATTCGACGTCGAAGTCACCGGCAGGGGCAAGACTCACTCCTACCCCAGCGTCATTTGCGAGCCCAAGTCCCCTTCAATCTCAACATTCTTCCCCCATATCCGCATCGAAAGCACGATTATCACCGACGGTGACAGAATCACGCTCTTCCAGCACGGCAAGCAAACGCAAATGACTCTCGCAACGCCCTCCTGGTTTGAGAAAGCGTTGGGGCTAAAGGATGTGACGAATAGTGTGCTGGCGCCTATGCCGTGTAAGGTGTTGAGGAACGAGGTTCGAGAGGGGGATCGGGTCGAGAAGGGACAGGCTCTGGTTGTGTAAGTGCCTTTTTTTCC